TGAATGCATATATATATATATATATATATATATATAATGGATAAAACAATGTTGGTAGATATACAAGTGAAGTCAAATATATAACACTATTTTGGTTAGGTCAAGTGGCTTGAAACCCTTTTTTAATACTTGAGGTCGTTCAATTCTTATCCTTGCAATTTTTTTGCACTTATGCCACATAATCGCCACAACTCAGCAAAAAAGAAAAAAGAAAAATCCAGTGAATTTTCACGTAGCCCATCCGGTTACTCTGACCTGCTATAGGCTGTCAGAGGACCAAAAAACTATTTTTTTTTTTCACTTACAGGACTATTTACAAAAAACGAACCATTAGCGGGACCAAAAACAAAATGAGGGTGACTTAAGGGACTAAGCAAAATGAGGGTGACTTAAGGGACTAAAAAATCTTTTTTGGCCGATTTTCATTCAATGCTCCAAGTCTCAATGCTGCTGCTCACATATATATACTGCAAAGATGATAAAAAGAACCAATACACCATCTATTATTTAACCTAGTTCATGAGATCAAGACACATGTCAATAAGATAAGGATCATTAATGCTTGTACAATGTTGAGTTGGAATGTTGTCGTGGGGCTGCGTCCTGGTGCATGTGGGACTGCATGGACTTGCATGGTTGTAGGTCTTGTTCCCCAACGACTATAGGGAGCTGTTTGGATGAGCAGCATGGCCTAATATCCCCACTCCGATCGAGCAAGGGTCGAGGAAGAACATATAATTTGTTCCTGTGCCTTGTGAAGAGTTGTCCACTGATTGGTTTGGTGAATAAGTCGGCCACTTGATCAAGAGCTGGAATGTGTCTAACTGAGATCAGTTGGGCAGTAACATTCTCTCTAATGAAGTGTTGGTCAATCTCAAAGCATTTGGTTTGAGAATGAAACACAAGATTGCTAGCTAGAGACACAGCATCTTGGTTATCCATTCAAATGACACTAGGTTTTGTAGAAGACACTTTAAGTTCTGAGAGAAGAGTCTGAAACCAAACAACATCACAGATAGCATGAGGTAATGATTGGTATTCTGCCTCAGTACTCTATCGTGAAACAATCTTTTGCTTCTTAGAACTCCAAGAGATCAAGAAAATGCAAAAATCACTTGTAGATCTCTTATCATCAATGTCAGAACCCTCATCAGCATTTGCGGCTGTAATCTGTAGAGTCTTGGGAGTATAAAAATGCATTCCATAGTTAATAGTATCTGCTAGATACCTCAATATCCTCTTAACAACTTTCCATTGTGTATTCAAAGGAGTTTGCATGAATTGAGAAACTTTGTTCACATTATAAGAGATTTCAGGCTTTGAAATTGTGGCATATTGCAATGCTCCCACAATTGATCTGTATAAAGTTGGATCTCTCATAGATTTAACCATTAAACTTGGAAAGAACAGGTGATGTTATCATTGGTGTGATTAAGCCTTTTGAATTTTCCATGCCAATCTTTGAAAGCACATCCATGATGTACTATTTTTTACTGATAAAAATCTGTAGAAAGAAATGCAAATCTCCTAAATCTTTCAAGGAGAATTCCTGTTTCATTTGTCTGATAAGATGGTTCAATTCTTCCTTATTGCTTTCTGTTATGACAATATTATCCACATACAACAAAATAAAAATGGTGTGGCCATGAGAATGCCTGAAATAGAGAGAACTATCAGCATGGCTGGTTTGAAAACCAATAAAATGTTGAAAAGTGCCAAGCTTGTTAAAGCAAGCTCTGAAAACTTGCTTTAGGCCATATATAACTTTGTGCAATTTGCAAACTAAGTTTTTTGTTCCTGGTACAGTATCAAACTGGCTGATCTATATATTACTCAGTGTCTAGGTTGCCATGGAGAAAAACATTATCAATGTCAACTTGCTTGATGCACCAGTTTAAGCTCAAGGCAATTAATAACCCTGTTCTAATAGTAGTCATCTTTGCAACATGACTGAATGTTTCTTCACAATCAAAGCCTGGAAATTGATTGTATCTTTTTGCCACAAGTCGGGCTTTGTGCTTGGCTATTGAACCATCTGCATTTTGCTTAATTTATACACCCATTTACTGCAAATTAGAAACTTATTTGGAGGCAAAGATGTCAGAAACCAAGTCCCATTCTTCATGAGAGCATCATATTCTTTCTTCATGGTTGCCTTGTATTCTGAATTTGAAAGGGCATCATGATCATTTTTGGGTTCCTTATTGTCTGCACAAGTCAAGGTATAAACCTTTGGTTTATGTATCCTGGTTTTGACCTTGTGACCATAGAATGGCCCTCTGCATTATTATTCCGAGGCTCAATAGGAGCAATGTTAGCAGTACTTGGAACATTCTCAATTTGCAAATCAACAAAAATATGTCCATCTTAGTCAGAAGTGCTAGAATTTTGAGTATGAGGGCTTTCAGGATTTGAGTAACTGGGTTGAGGATTTGAGTGCAAGGCTTGATGAAGAAAAACTATGCACATGTGTGTGTGTGTGTGTGTGTGTGTGTGTGTGAAAAGTTTGGAGTTATCTGAGGATGATTCAACACATGTTGCACAGTTGGTAGTGGTGATATGTTTGTGTGAATATATGAAGGAGTTTCAACTTCAAGCTTCTTTATATAGGGAAATTTAGATTCATAAAAAAGAACATTTTTTGTAAGGACCACTTTCTTATTAGGAAGCAATATTCTATACCCTTTATGTTTGCTACTGTATCTAAGGAAAACACTAAGTTGGCTCTTATACTGCAACTTGTGTTGATTATAAGGTTTCATCAAAGGGTAACACAGACACCCAAAGGTTTTGAGGAAAGAGTAATCTAGTTTTGTCTGGTTAAGGATCTCAAAGAAGGTTTTGTAATCTAGTACTTGTCAAGTAGAAATTAATGGCAGGGAAGCCGAGTACGTCGCAGGCTCTGAGGCAGCGAAGAAAGCGGTATGGCTGAGGAACTTCTTTTTGGACTTGGATGTGGTGCCGAGTTCGCCACGAGGTAATACAGTTTACTGTGATAACATTGGTGCAGTAGCAAACTCGAAGGAACCACAAACCCATAAAGCGACTAAACACATAGAGTGCAAGTACCACCTTATACGAGAGATCTTAGGAGTGTGGTCGCCAAGATAGCATCATAGGATAACTTAGTGGATTCTTTCACGAAGAGTTTGTCGACGAAGTTCATCGACAAACATGTGGAGGGAATGGGAGTCAGATGTTAAGCGGTAGGCTCGACATAGTACTTTTAGAATGAGGATTGAAAGATGTATACTAGGAAAAACGAAAGCTTTAGTATAAGTGAGAGATTGTTAGTGTGTATACTTAAAGGTTGGGTTTTTGCATAATAATCACTATCTTTATTTTAAAAGAGAATCATGTTTAATTAAATTGTCTTACATTTTGATGTTATACATTTGGATATTGTTGTTCATCGCAGGTGAATAGAGGATAATGTATTGGTTACTTGTAAAACATAAATAATATTGTTCACAAGCTAGATGAAAATGAACGACCGATTGTGAACGGTTGTAGTGTCAACTGTACAGTCTGTCTTGACTGATTGGTTGCACTAGTAAACTATGTGTATTGAACAGGTCCCAGAGAGGATAAGTTTGTTTCATACTTATTGAGTAAGAAAACTAGATCCTGATTAATTATTGCGTACTCTTAACTAGTAAGATGTAAACAGACATGTACATAAGTAGCTGCTACTTTGATTCATCAAAAAGTGAGATCCATTATGCCGGGTTAATAATCTATTGTGTTTAGGGTAGTGATGTTGTATGTATGATGTAATGTTTGAATATTTACAGTTACCGTGTGCGATAGTTTGATAATGTCCCCGAGATGATCACAAGAAGAATTATTATCTTAAGCCCTACATGTGGATTAAATTCCAACATAATAATAAAGAATTGAGTGGTACTAGTCTCGGCACAAGAAGTCAATTAATTATATTATCAGTAATTAAACTAATTGACAAACATTTTATCTTAAAGACGGGGAGATAAATTGAGTAATTCTTATCGGAACCTCAAATGTAATTTGGGAGCCAAATAGGGAGATCACCAATATTTCTTTAGTGGACTGATGTATCGTTCAAGTATAAGCTTAGTGGGCTTAGCCCACAGTTTAAGCCCATACTTGAGAAACCCATATTTGACACCTCCTTAGGGTCCCTGTTGTAGCCTATAAATACACGACCTCTCTTGGGATTTTAGAACACCACACGTGAGAGACTCTATAATCACAATCGAGCGAGCTCTGTTCTATCGCCCACCAAGACGAGCAAAGTTGTGTAAGGTAATACAAAAGAAGTCCTGAGGTCATCCGAGGCAACCACGAGACGTCAGACATACCCGTGCACTATCGCTGAATATAGAGCCCCGCTCGCCGATCCTCTGCGCGAGTCACGCATGGCGCAGCCAAGCACCGCGATGCATGAGCAAGCATCGCAGCACCCAGCTGCATCCATTCGCGAGCAGCCCAGCTCAAGCACGTACGTCGCGAGATGAACGCTGCGCATGCAGTATGCAGGGATCGCGACCCGTGCACGCACGCGACACGACCGAGATGCGAGGATCCCCGGCGACTCGAGAGCGTTTTCGACGACAGACATCCACGAGACGAAGCGTGAAGGATGAGGCGAGAAGATCTGTCAGAAACGTCGTTTGGCCCCATAAGCCCTGTAAGTTTGTACAGTGCCTACAAAGTTATAAGTCGTAAGTATTCAAACTAAAGAACACTTAACTTTAGTCCACTACGGTTTAGGCTTATTTTTTTTGTCTTGATCCGTGACTTGCATGGTTTGACGTTCCTAATAGAACCCCAACAAGGGATACGAGCACTGGTGAGAGGAAGCTTGCCCCAAAAGCCCAGCAAAGCCTAACCCCCAAAATCGGACTACGCGAAACACCCAACAGAAGGAAACACACATAGACATCAAAGAAACAACACCCCAAAATAGTCTAACCAAAAAATTGATATTCCAATAGATGGAACAGAGAAACTCTATACAGGGTGAGACTTCGAAACGTAGAACTAAATCCCCTTCTGAGAATTCAATGATAATTAATACATGAGTCTTCCAACCAAAATTTTTAGTCCAAATAGTTTTATGACGAAGGAGTCATAAGAAACAACTTTTCATGACTTAACATGAATTGAATACCTAATCATCAAGAACTTTAAATTTATAAAAAGTGTAATTTACACATTTGGATCGATGAAAGCCTTTTAGTCCAAAACCAATCTTCATAAAATCAATTTTGTGGTGTTTTTGAGAGGAAAACTCAATTTATTATTTGTGCGTTTTCTCCACTTAGGTCTCAACTTTTCCACATAGTATTGCTTTCTTGATTTTGTACAAGACTTTTGCCATTGCATATAGCCCTCACATAAATTAATTTGTATCAGTAATCCAACTATTTAAATATTTTATTCATTTCTAATCAACTTTTATATATTTTAACAACTACCGTTTGATTATATTTCCTTAAATAATAAGCTAAATCCCTAAATGCCTCTGATTTTCCGTATGTAAATTTCTGTGTTGACAGATTCAACTGGCGTTTTCTAATTTTCCTTTTCAATTGTTGATACAAAGTCTTTAATTCCAGTTCCAAATTTTATTTGGAATAAAATAATACGAAAATTGTATGTATCCTATTGTCATTTTATTACACGCACGAACTGTAGACACAGAGGCACAAACAGTGTGTGTGAGAGAAAGAGTAACGTATGTTAATTTTAAAATAAAAAACATTAAATATAAATACTTTTATACTACTGTTAGTCGACAGAGACGCAAAGAGGGAAAAAAAGAGGAGGATAGCTGTGGAGTTGACATCTACTCGTAACTCTGCTGATGGGGCAGTGCTACGGTAAGACGATCCCCACCGGAGACAACGATGGGCCCGCCACCACCATCACCACCATCGCCGCCGCCGCCGAAGATCTCCCGGAGCAGACACCGCCCCGCAACGGCACACCGTCTGTAAAAAACACCCCGGCGAGATCCTCCGCCAACAGCCCCTGGCCGAGCCCCTACCCGTCCGCCGCCGGAACTCCGGCTGGTGTGTCTCCTTCCACGGCGAGGTCGACGCCGAGGAGATTTTTCAAGAAGCCGTTCCCACCTCCGTCGCCTGCCAAGCATATTAGGGCGTCGCTGAGGAAGTTGGGGCAGAGGAAGAAGCCTCCGAGAGAGGGCCCCATACCGGAGGACGCGGACGCCGGTGAATCCGAACAGCAGCAACAGCACGCGCTGGACAAGAATTTTGGGTACAACAAGAATTTCGGAGCCAAGTATGAGCTGGGGAAAGAGGTGGGGAGAGGGCATTTTGGTCACACTTGCTGTGCAAAAGGGAGAAAGGGGGAGCTCAAGGACATACCTCTCGCCGTCAAGATAATCTCCAAAGCTCAGGTTTGTTTGTGGTTATTTTTATGGTTTTTTTCTTCTTGCAATTGTAAAATTATAGTATTTTGGTATGGAATTTGTCGCTGTGTGAGTTTTGGACTTCCAATTAGCATATAACCATGGATTCGTGTAATGTCTGTGTAAATTCAATGGTGATTTCAGTTTAGCTAGCTAAAGCTCTACTTATTGATTTTGAAGTTTGACATTCCTTTCCAGTGAGAATCACTCAGGGAACGAAGGCACTATTGGAAGAAGATGGAAATATATTGATCTAGCAATATCTTCTTGCTACGCGAAAATTGAATATGTTGGAATAAGTAGTTTGAAAAAAGAACAGGCCACCACGAATGTGATTCTGATCTGGATATGTCAGATGTAAAGTTGATCAAAGATCATAAATCTGAAGAAGATTTCCGATTACTTGATCCAAATCTGTATGATGTTACCTTTGAACAAATCTTTAAGATGTTACTTTTGAAATTTCAGTGTGTCTCAATAATCTTTCTTTTACAAAATAGTAGGTGGCGCTATAACTGCAACTGTTCTCAAAATGAGTAGGTGACACCTTTTAATGTTGTGATCACAAATGCATTTACGGGAAAGAACTGAGTTTTTGTTTTTGTTTTCTTGTTTTTTGTTTTTTTAAATCTTGAGATAGCCCCTATGATAGACCCACTGAACGTGTCTCCATTTATATATCAGAAACTGTTGAAGACTGTGGTGCATTAGCTTAATGGTCATTCTGACAAATCTTGTGTCACTTAAGTGAAATACCGTGTTTTACACTCGAGTAGCATCAGACAAGATTAGAGTACATATTTCATTTGTCAAGTCTTCGAGAGGCACATGACAGAGTATAAATGGGTAATAGACATATGGTAGAGGGGAAAATGAAGTGTTATTATATTCACTGGACTGTTTTTGTGGAAATTGTTGAAAAGTTAAGGTTGTAATGGTAGAACTTTTGAGGCATTGGGGACGGATTCTAAATGCACTATAAACTAGCCCCTTACTGACATTGCGGGGCTTTGAACAATTTCCTCATTGATGTCAAATAAAAACATTTTCCCTGGCCCATGCGACACATTGTAAAACTATGACAGCATAGATATTTTTAGGTTTGGTTACCTGCAGTCTTACGAAACAGGTAGTTACTTGATAAAAGCTATGGTATTCATGGTAAGCCACCAAATAATACTAATCAGGAATTGATTTCTACAACAATATTTCTTCACTAGTTGGAGAAGTTAGTCTTTTAGCCAGTGTTCATTTCAGGATAGATGTAAGAGGTCTTATAGAAAATTTATATGAGGATAAATTAAATGAAAAGAGTTATGGTATATCCCATAGGGTTAGATTCTACAATGATATTCTAACCGATAATTTTGGAAACTGGATATTTCGCTAAACAGGCTTCTTTGACAGATGACAACTGCAATATCAATTGAAGATGTTCGCCGGGAAGTGAAAATTTTGAAAGCCCTCTCAGGCCACAGACATCTTGCCAGCTTTTATGATGCTTGTGAAGACAGCAATAATGTGTACATAATAATGGAGTATGTGTACTTGTCTGTGTACATTTTTGAGCCAAAAAATGAATGTAATATTTTCTGCAACTTCCATTTTCAGATTGGAGCTCTTTTGACATCTTCATTTACCCATCAATGTTACTCTACTTTCCTAGCTTCAAACTTGTTTCATTAATATTTTCCAAGCTTGCGTAAAAAATCTCTATTTTCTGATCTAGTATGCTATGCTATTCCATTGTTCATCTATGTAACTCAAATTCAATATCAGACACGGCCTGCAAAAGTCTCTATAAGTACTTCTCCATTTCCATTGTTCATTACCTTTTTCCTTTCCTTTCCTTTCTTTTCTTTTTCCTGCATCCATTTTTTTTCGCTTTATATATATATATATATATTTTCGATTTCTTATACCCTGCGTAACTTACATATAAAACCTGCTATCTAATATGAATTATCTCCTTTTCATTCTTGGAATATTTTTCTTAATAATTTCACCATCAAGAACTGGGAACTCCCTAATTTTTAGTTGTATTTCTTATAGGAAGATTTTGTTAAAAACATTGCCAAATGATTTATCTCGTTTTGTAACACGTGCAGACAAACTTCTGGCACTGATCTGGCACATCGCTGCTTCTTCTCCTTCATCTTTTTCCCCTTTAACTGCTATTGTGCTTTGAGCTTTTTGAGAAAATTATAGTTGTGCTATAATCTACTAGATCTCTCATTCTTTTTCTTGCAGATTGTGTGAAGGTGGAGAGCTGCTTGACAGAATACTGGCAAAGTAAGTGAGAATGCTATTTCCTTACATCTTAATGCTCTAGTCTCCACTGTACTACAGAGGACACAAAATCAAAGGAAACATTTCTTTCTTGTTCTGATTATTATCCATCTTTTTGATGGATTCAGCTAGACTTATACTGGTTTGTTCATTTCAGAGGTGGTAAATATTCTGAAGACGAAGCAAAACTTATTATCGTTCAAATTCTTAGTGTTGTATCATTTTGTCATCTTCAAGGTGTTGTCCACCGGGACTTAAAACCTGAGGTAATTGAATAATCTCTTCTGATAACCAGTTTGCCAAATCTCTCTCTGAGTGATGAATATAACTTAATTGTCCGGAAATCTTTTGTGACTCAGAATTTTCTATTCACTTCAAGAAGTGAAGATGCTGATCTGAAGCTTATTGATTTCGGTCTTTCTGACTTCATCAGGACAGGTACGACTGAGAAATTTTAAAACATTGTTTTCTTTCTGATTCTTCTCATGTGTCCTAAACTTTGTATTACTCAAGTCTCTTTATAAGCGAACTTGCAACTGGAGCAAGATACTTGTTAGTTTTAGACTTGGCATGGTTGAAAAATGGATGCAAATGAAGTTGATTTCAAACAATTGGCTTGTTTCTTAATTTAGTTCATTTGCAACGTACTTGGATAAGTCTTCGAGTTACTCTCTTATATGGCATCTGCCATTTTGGCTTACCTGTCCAGCTATATGACCTTTCCCATTCTTTTTTCTTGAAGTATATATTTTTGTGTTATCGATGAATTGCTGCTGTTTCATCCACAATAATTTATGCCTTAAAATCTTTGTTATGCATGAAAAGCTTTAACACATTTATTCACATAACTCCAAATTCATTAAGCGAATAGTTTGAAATACATGTTCCTGTTATTTCTTAGAGATAAAAATATTGTGCTAACTAGAAGCCGTTCATAATTTTCTCCTGTTGTATAATTATTTGCATCAGTTGGATGTCTCAGCCTTTGTATCATCTCCCATGTTTTGATCCTTTCAGATGAAAGATTAAATGATATTGTCGGAAGTGCTTATTACGTTGCTCCCGAAGTTCTCCATAGATCTTACAGTGTGGAGGCTGATATTTGGAGTATTGGCGTTATCGCTTATATTTTGCTGTGTGGTAGCAGACCATTCTGGGCTCGGACAGAGTCTGGAATATTTCGTGCTGTTTTGAGGGCTGACCCAAATTTTGAGGACTTGCCCTGGCCATCTGTTTCACTGGAAGCCAAGGACTTTGTGAGACGGCTTTTGAACAAGGACTACCGCAAAAGGATGACTGCTGCTCAAGCTTTGAGTTAGTATTATATGAAATGCTCGAAATAGTTCTTTCAGATATTTTATTGTATGTTGCCTACATATTGGATTGACTAAGAACTTTGACTAAGTTGGCTTTTGGTGCTTCTGTTTTTGACTGCATAATTTGCTCAGATTCTTACAATCAGGGCACCGGGTGACTGATAAGTTCCATAATTTGCCAACATAATGAAATGGTTAATGATACAAATTACTCCATCGATAGAATTGGATTGACTAAGAACTTTGAATTGAAGTATTAATATACTTGAACTACTATCTCTCCTCCTTTTTCGTTTCTATCCACAGAATTTATGTGAATTCATATACATTTCTCTTTTCCATTTATTGGTTCTAAGTTTTTCTTGATTTCAGCTCTTTATTTGGCCAATTCAAAGTGACATTTTTTCTTAAGCCTCTGATGTGAGTTTTTTCACACAAATAGCACAAATAAAATAGTTAAAACATTACTTGTTTTACTTTGGCTTCTAATTGCAAACACGACCAACTTTTGTTTTGCAAAGACTCCCTTTATGTTGTTTGTATTTC